GTAATTCAGGTAGTCTGGTTGGTCATATGCTTCTCTACACATCTTGACATCCAGTTTATCTGCCTATTCCTTTGGGTATGTTTCATAGGCTTCTATCAGTCTAACTGTATTGTCAAAAATTCATGCTACCTCTTTATTTAAGAATTTCCAAGTAGGTTTCTGATTCTTTGGTTTTTTAGTTTACTGCACCTGGTGGTCTTATCATGGGTTTGCACTAAAGTCTTATATGATACTAGTTATTAACATTCTTCTATGTACATATAACATTACACTTAGTATAGATGCCCTGAGCTCCTATTCGAGATGATGTGATTTAAGGTTATAAATACACAAATCCAACTGATTGTCAAGAGACAGTTTGCTATAATACAGGTTAATTTCCAAATTTCATTGTAGATAAGATTTAAATCTTAGACCTGCCACTTGGAGGATGACAACCCAACCACTATACTAGGATCGCTATTCTCAATATATATAATTTATATATATTAATCTTAATAAAGATTTATAACAAAATTATCAAAGAGATGTGACAATTTAGTAAAATGGACAGATTGTCAACCTTTAAGTAAAAATTTAAAGTTTAAATTTTATAGATAATAAATTTTAAAAATTATATTTGTATTATTATAACTATCTCTTATCAATTTATTAAATTTAAATATCTATAATTTTAAGTATATCAAGTTAGATTCTATCTGATATTAAAAGTTTAAAATATCTATATAATATGTAATATTATATATATATAGAAGAATATGAAAAACTGATGTTATATAAAACTTTAATGCAAACTCATAATAAGTCTACTAGGCATAAAAGATTAAGAAACTTAAAAGTTAGAAATTTATTTAAAAAACTTAAGTAAACAGATAATATTAACTTTTAATAGTATTGTTAGACTGATAAAAACACATAAAATATTTTTAAAGAAATATATAGATAAACTAAATAAAAAGATGTATAAAGAAACATATAATCAATTAGGTTATTAGATTATTAAAGAAAAAAGAATACATAAGTATACTATATCAGATTATTTAGATTAATAATTAGAAAAGTTCTGTTAATACTGAATAATAATTAATAAAAGATAAAAAAAAAGATCTTAGAAAGATAAATACCAGAATTAGAGTAAATTTTATAAAAGTATAGCATTTTAATGATTAGTTCTAATTGCAAGTACTGGTTTAAACTAAAGTAATACTAGGTCAATTATAAGTATAAGGTACAAAAAACCTAGTAAGTTTAGTACAAAATTAAACATAACTTAATAACTATGATATATATTTACTGGTTTATCAGAGTTGTTAGTAAGATAAAGATGAATATAGAATTTAGAGTGTTTAAATAGAAGATCTGTAAAACCTTTGAACAGACTACATAAATTAAACAAAGACTAAAGTTGTATAAGTAACTAGTTGTATACTCATTTTATAATTGTTTTTGTAGTTGTTTTACACAACAGCTATTAGCCAAAAACATACTATCAATAAAATTCTAAATCACATGTACTTACCTTAATATTTAAAAAAAAACCAAAGTTGTTAAAATAAAAAGAAATAAAAAAAATAAAAACAATCTAACATATTTCCAAAACTTAAAAAAAACTATATAAAATTTAATTATAAAACCTATATTGTAATTAAAAATTATACAAATTTAATATATTGATTTATAATATGGTGTCTGTGCCTTGAAAATAACCTTACACGACTATGTAGATTTTATAAATAAAAAATAATATTTCTGGCCATCCAGGAATTAAATTCAAATAAACTTTATTTTATTTTGTAAAACCCATTAAGCTCTACAAAATAAAAAAAGTTTATTGGATTGAATTACTGGATGGCTAGAAATTTTAATTTTTACTCATAAAATTTACATAGCCCGTAAGGTTATTTTCAAGACACAAATCCCATATGAAAAATTTAAATAAATCTAACTTGCTGTTATTTTTATTTTTTTAAAAAAACTATCCAATTATGATAATAATAATATTACGTAATATCTTGAGAAGGGTCTCTTAATATCTTATATTAGGTATATAAATTTATAACAACCAATTAAAATTTTCTTATATGGGAAAGAATATAATAAAAAATATTACATAATATTTGTTTACTGCTCCTATTAAAACATAAAATTTTTAAAGGTTTTCTAAATTTGACATGACCGGATTATGAAAACCATTTAATTAATTTTGCATGGCCTATCATACGTAGCAGCTAGTGTCCAATATGCTTTTATTTTGGTTTAAAATATAGATAGGTATACAGTAGCTTAAGAAATGAAATAAGTATACAAGAATAATTTAGTATCTAAATTTGCATATTAAATAGTTTAAAAGATAGGTTTACAAAATTAAAAAGTTAATGTACTGTACAAGCTATTTATGTATACCTACACGTATATTGTTAGTTATTATCCAATCAAATCAAATATCCGACCTTAACCAAAATGTAATTTAAAAAGTTTTACCAAATTAAGCCGTAACTTAAGATAAGCCCATTATTAAAAGAAACCTCGAAAAGACTGTGACCGAACAATTTCTTTTTTGCAACGTTTTGGTTGCGTTCATAGCATTCATATGGTATTTCTATTATTCGTGAATTGCGAATTAACCAATTTTACTGTGCCACAAAATTCGGCCACAATGTTATTTTTTTTACATATTTTTTTTTCACGAAGATCTGCAGGACCGAAAGGCCGAGAAACAAAACTTTTAGTACTGGATTTGTCATAACTAGGTTAATTTAAAATCCCTTTGGATTTCCTAATTTGAATGAAGGCTTGATCATCCATCTGAGAATCTAAGAATTGATGTTTGAAATTGTACGCACGTACATTCCTTACTATTTTAAAATCACTTTGGTTTATAATGGTTAAATTTGATTGGACAAAAGTCCAATTTCAATTAATTGTAATTGTATGCATAATAATATTGTCAACACTTGTGATTATCTGATATATTTCTCAATTAGGATGCTTGACAACAGGACTTATTGTTCATCGTTAGCCATATCTATAACTTTGCCTAATCAAACAAAGTGAATAGATCTAATTCCCCAACTAGAAAACAATGATTTATGTAACTGTGCATCGGAAATAAAATGCGGGTGGTGCCGGTTTTGTTCTTGAAACATATCATTTAAAATCCAAATTTTTAGTTTTTTAATTTGATAAAAAAAAAAAAAAAAAAAAATCGATTTCGATTTTATTAAAAAAAAATGACAGAAATTTCATTGCGTAATGAACGTATTATCTTGAATGTTGGGGGAATTAAGGTAACAAAGGAGCAATAAATAAAAAATTTTCTAAAATTAAATGTTTAAATCTTAATATTTTAATTAATCTTTTAAATTTTAGTACGAAACATATCGCTCAACTTTGACTGCTTATCCAGAAACTTTACTCGGAACGATGTTCCAGGCAAGAAATCACATATTATTACATCCAACAAATGATAATGAATACTTTATCGATCGCAATGGGCGGGCATTTCATTACATTTTAGAATTTTATCGAACCGGTGAGATTACTTGGCCAAATGATGATGCGGTGCAAACATGCTGTTGTACACAAGTATCCCGACGAGAATTAAACAAAGAAATAGATTATTTCCAAATTCCAGTTTCTAAAGACATTGATTTAAAAAATGTTGACAATCCAAAATCCTTAGCAATAAAATTAGATGGATTCGCGGCGGCGTTAGGGGAAGCAATATGCATCGCAAGACAAGATTATCAAACAATTTTTCATGTAAAATTTTATGATCGTCTACCTATTCATAATATGAAAGATATTCCAAAAAATATTCCAATTCAAATTCATTCTCAACCACAAATAGATAGATTACTTAGACCTTATATTAGTAGCGGTTATTATATATTGGACGTGTTTTCTAAACATATAGAAACACATATTAAAAGTCTCATGCCGGAATTAAGATGGTGTTTGGATAAACGATTCAAATTTGAACCAGAACCAACTTATTATGATTTGAAAATTGTCGGAAGTAATTTATTGGATAAAAATGAGATACTGAAATATTCAACTCTTGGAAAATGATTTTTTTTCTTACTTTTGTGAAAATTTGCACTAGTTGTTTTTTCTTTTTCTAATTTTATGAATGTAGATATTAGAACAATAGAAGGGTAGTTATTATCACGCGAAAAAGAACCGATGATACAACGAAAGAATAATCTTGAGAATAGATGATTATTTAGATTATTTGTTTACTGAATCTATTAAAACGAATGAAAATTAAAATTATATATTTACATTAATCATCACCATCAAGTATGAAGTTTCCATACTGCATTGTCTTTTTATTCTTGAAAATGTCAGTTACTAATCAGTCTATATAATCTATGTAATCCATATAAACGATTCCTCAAACATATTTTGAAATTTTAACTTCTTTATCTTCTATTATTTGTTATTTCGATTTTAAGTTCGTTTATTAAAAAAAAAGTACATGTATCGATATCTCAGTCCATTTATGATAATACAATTGCATCGTTATTTATGATCAGTGACAATACTAACCACAAAGCTTATCTAGTTTTTGTAGAGTTTCTTCACATTGAACTTGAATGGTGAAACAAAAGTTTTATTTTCTGAGGCAGGAATAGGGGTCTTTTGGGATCGAATCCTTACAAGGACCTGCAGGATCGGTAAGGACTCGGTCCTTAAATCACATGAAAACAATACATTTTATAGGATTTGGATCCTGAATTGAATTATTATAAATACAAAATTAATTAACTTATTCGATAGATTCTATTTATGATCTGATACAGGATCAAAGTCCTATAAAATGTATTGTATTTTCATGTTATTTAAAGGATCGAGTCCAGAACCGTCTTTTTAGATCCTAAGATCGGACCGGACTGGATTCGCAATTTATCCCTAGGCAGGAATATTATTTATTAGTATGATATTTCCTACTGCTAATGGTTAACGTCGATATGTATTTTTACCTCCTTTTGTTAGTTTAACTATAGGTCGAATGAGTTGTTCACTCATTTATGCTCGTTCCTCAGGATACGGCTTCAGGTTGTTATAAACATAGTCGTAGAATACATATTTACGTGATAACTAGGACAAGTAGGAGAACTTTTACCTGAAAACTAAGTATTCTTGCATAAAAATTATTGTCATAGATGATGTTAATGCTGAAATTTGGGTTGAAAATATATGCCCTATTTAATATCCATGTATACGTACTCTTTCATTAAAAACTTTAAACCCTACTCTAACTTCAAAGAATGTAACCTCAAAATTATAAACTTTCATAATAAAATTTCCGAGTTTTTGTTGATTAAATGTCAGAATTCGAACTTTAAATTATAATTAAACAGTTTATTTATGTATAATCAATATTGTCCATGGACAGTTCATGTTCATGTCATTGTGTGTAATGCTGTAATGATATAACTTATTCTCAAGTAATGATTGTCTTTGTGCCTCGCAATATATATACAGGAAATGCATAGAATGTATGTATATTGTAATAAGATAGTAACAGAAAAAAAATTAGAAAATATAGAAAATTATTGGGTCAATTATTCTAATTCATTATCGATATATAGTGATAGTTAAGAAAAATAATATTTCGAGCAAATGTATCAACTTCACGTGAAGATGTTTTATTCTATTCCATTATCTATTTGTGAAGCAGAATATCTTATTGGCCAACCCTGCTAAGTAAATATTTTTTAATGCCATATTGGTTATCTTGATTTACATTCTTTATACAATTAACAATCTCTCGTTCATTCGTAATTTTGATGTTGAAACGTGATGTTATATTCCAATCTTTCGCATCTTTTGTCAAAGGATGGTTAAGTTTTTTGCTATTATAAACAATGATAGATAATATATCATTTCCAACAAAAGGATCAATAGAAGACTCGAAACTCCTCAAATCAAGAACACTAATAGGACTCTCCACATTCTTACACTGAATAAGAATTATTCGACCTTTAAATGTAGCAATGATGTCAATTCCACCATCACCACGACGAAGACGAATCATATTAGTTCGAATTCCGTCATTAATAAGTATTTTCGAAATAGTATTTTCGAATTGATGTCCTTTATGATAATTGGAATCCTTTGGTCCAAAATCATTTATCTCATCTTCCAATAGTTTATTTTTACATACGAACTCTACATTTTTTTCACTTAACTTCCTAATAATCTGTTTACATTCTTCTAATTCCTTTTTCAATTTAATATTTTCTAAATTCATTTCAACTTGATTATTTTCTTGTTCATTGATTCGTACCTTTGTTTTTGATTCTTTTTTTCTTTTAAAAGATGTACAATTTTCATAATCTAAACCTTTATCATCATTAATTAACACCCTTATAGGTCGTTTCAAATTATTATTATGATTTCCAACAGCATCTTTATCATCACTAGTATATTTATTACAAATCTTTTTGATTAAATCAAGTCTTTTTTCAAAAAATGATTTGTCTTCTACTATAAAAAACCTTTTATGAAAAATTTCCTTTAAGTTGCATAAATTAGTCATATATAAATTTGCATCAAATGTTCTTAAATATTCCTTAAAATTTCTAAGAGATTGAATATCTATATTAACTTCTTCATGACAATCCACGTCATATCCTTTTTTTCTAAAAGATGGAATGTCTATGTTAACTTGTTCGTGACAATCCACGTCAGATCCATCAAAAGAAAGATTAAAAAAAGTTTCTTTGGCATGAATAGGCTTTTTATGAAAAATATGAACAACCAATGTATTACGCTTGTTATATTGTTTCTTAATAATAAAATAGGAAAAAGATTCAATCTTTAAAAGCTTTAAAAGCCGTTGAATATGATATAATATAATATGTGAACCTTCCTTAAATTACAAATTAGGTAGTTCAGAATATTCAATTACTGAATATTTATCCATGATTTCTCAATAAAAAAAAAAACTAGTTAAAAAAAATAAATATTTCAAAATTTGAACCTTTAAATTTTTCTTAAGAAAATCTGAGAT